GTTTGGGCAAAAAAAAAAAAAAAAAAAAAAAAGCAAAAAAGCAAAAAACCTGTTTCAAAAACTTGCAAGGCAGTGCCTTTGATCTCTGCACACTTGCCTGTGTCCTTGCTCAGGGGAATCCCCCTGGGGTCTGAACCCAGTGGCCTGCCCTCCAGGAGTAAGACATTGACCAGTGTTTCCTACACCAGCTCCTGAGCCTGACATTTGTTCTGGGCCTTGGTTGGTCCATAGTTGGTGAAGTACCCTCCATGGGTCCCCTATGAGGAAGTCCTTCAGCCCACCAGCCAAGGTGGTCCCATCACTGAATTGCATTCCATCTATGCACAAGGAACATTTGCAGGTTTAAGGTATGTATACATTCCTAAGCGGGAACCCTGCAGCAGCGCTGGGCTCAACATTGAAGTTTTCTTGGCCCCAGGTCCACAGAAGCTCCTGGAAGAGAAACCCACCCACCAAGACCAGGACAGCAAGCCCACCTCACCCCAGCCCAGGGGAATCCAGAGAAAGACCATCTGCTGCTGCTTGGTCTGTAGAGCTTCCTCCAGCAGAGCTAGTCGATCCCTTGACAGTCAAAAATGCTGAGGCTGAGAGGTTAAGAAACCAGATGGGAAGCACAGAGTAGGGTACACCCTCACACCCAGGCTTGCCTCCTGCCTAGTACATCCTCAGTGGTTAGGTCACCTCTCACAGTTTGGGCACGAGGGAGAGGACAGTTAGTTACTCCAGGTCCCTGACCCATCTCTAGCACCAAGGGAACTGCAAAGGTACCCCCAAAGCAGGAGTAGAAGGTTGTGATCGTTAACATGGACTGTCAACTTGGCAGGATCTAGAGTTACCTAGGACACACGCCTCTAGCCGCATCTGTGAGGGAGTTTCTAGGTTGGGTTAACCACAGAGGGAAGATGTGCCCTATATGTGCATCACCACCTCCATAGGCTGGGATCCCAGAATGAATAAAAAGGAGAAAGTGAGTCTCTCTCTGCTTCCTGACCACAAAGACAATGTGACCAGCTGCCTCAAGATCCTGCCACCAGGCCTTCCCCCCTTGATAGATTACACCTCCAAAATGAGCCGGAAGAAACCTTTCTTTCCCTAAGTTGCTTTTGTCAGGCAATTTGTCATAGCCATGAGAAAAGTAACAAATACAAAGAATTAACAAGCAGCTTCAGAAAGCATTCCATATCCCGTGGGGACATGGGGAGCTGCAGGGTAAGTGATCTGTCCAACAGCCAGCTTGGCTTCATCACTAAGGTTCTATAGGTCAGGGCTTTGGGAGGAAGGAAACCATCATAGCCAACACCAATGTCCTCAGTGGACTGTACCCTGAGAAGCCTGACTGGTTAGACTTAACAGGTCAAGGTCACTCCAAGAACTGGGAGCGGAGGCCCCACACAAACAGCAGACTTAGGAGCTGGGGCAGCAAAGCTCAGGGACTGCCTTGCTCCTAGAGGGCAGTCCACTCACTCAGCTTAGCCCCCAGGGAGACTTGAGCATGAACACAGCCAAGTGTGCAGTGGCCTAGGGCACTGGTGTGACTTTCTGAGGGTGGGGGGCAGGAGAAGCCAACTCCCAGAGGCATTGTGGGAAGTCCCAGGGCTGCACAGGGTCACTCTGTGTGATGGATGGTGAGGAGTTAGAGTGGGGGAGAGGAGGGAGGCTGACTTAGGAGGCAGCTAAGAATCTTCAAACACAAGTGTTCCAACAAGCCATCCTCACACTACTCGTCACAGCTGAGCCACGAATGAACTAGAACACTTCGGGCCTCTCATTAGTCACAAAGCTAAAATGTAAACTGATGACACTAAATACAGTTACCAACCGCTTCCTGCCCCATAGCTAAGAGGCAAGTTTATGATAGCAACTCAGTTAGCTATCTCCTATCCTTAAACAGCCATCTTCGTCTCAGAGCTGCTTAGTACAGACCGTACCAGACCTGAAGTTAAACTAATAGAACGTGGTTAGCTATTTTTTCCATTATTGGTCTAGGCAAGTGGAGAACATCTTCCATGTCCAAAAGCTCAGCTATCATCCTGGGCAGAACTCAGTTTTCACGTCCACCTCAAAAGCCTCATTGTATCAAGATTTGAGGAACCAGGTTCTTTGTTCTCTCACACAGTCTCATCTTGATCCTCCAAAACGTGGCTTCCTACTTCTGTCAAATTCAAAGCGTTCTCAACCTTTCTTCTGGTCTCTGCTTCATGCTTCTGAAAATGTACACTGGGATGGTGTCCCTGACCTTAGGCCTCCTCACCCAAGGGTGAGACAACAGTCTAGTGTTTCAGTAACAGCCTCTGCACAGTCTCCCACAGGACTGTGATTAAATAGCTGGACATCTCAGGCCCTCCAGACCACTGAAATCAATCAGTGGGCTGGAGATTGAACCCAGGACTTTGTGTGTGGCATGTAGGTTCTCTACCACTGGGTTACACCCCCAGATCCCAGGGCCTACTGGCCTTACTGCTGACAGTCACAGAGGTGGGAAGAACTTTTTGGATTCTGAAACCACCTTTGGTTTGGGAGTCAGCAGCCTTCTATCCCACCCATAGCAACTGCAGGTAGAGTCGGGGTGAGGGATGGGTCACTCACAAATAGCAGCAGACACCTGTTCTCTCGGACAGCCCCGCAGCAGCCCAGGAAGCCCAGAAGAAACAGCAGGCCGCCCATGGCCAGGACGATGTAGGCGCCGGTGGTCAGCAGTGGGTTGGTAGCCACAATCTCCCGGAAGCCAGTGGGATCCACGAGGACCCAGATGCCAACCCCCAGCAGGCAGGCTCCTCCCAGCTGTCCATAGGCAGGCATGGAGGAAAGAGGACAGACAGTGCAGTTAGATTCTCCTTCCACAGCCTCCCCTCAGTGCTGAGATCTGCAGGATTGGGCAGGATCTCAACATGCTAAGCCCAAATCTCCACAGCCCACAGCCCACTTAGAGTCTTCTGTGGGACTCAAAGTGGCCTGTGGTTCCTTGGCCTTCTCATAGCTCACACCCTCTCAATCTACTTTCTGACTTGTGTGCCTCTGCAGGCTATGGAGGACTGTGTTACACAGGGTTTATTTGTGACTCTCATATGCTTCTTAAATGTCACAGCTCCAAGCTTATGAAGTTTCCACATTGTGGCCCAGGGGAAGTCAATGACTTGCAAAAGGTCACCTCTCAAGTTCATGGCAGAGTCAAGGCTGCAGCCTAGATCTCCCAGACATTGAACAAATCTCCATGGACAAGCTCTGAGAGTGACGCTGAGCTCATAGTAGCCACACGAGCGGCAGGGTTTGCTCAATGAACTCCCACTCCCATTTCTCTCTCTCTCTCTTTCTCTCTCTCTCTCTCTCTCTCTCTCTCTCTCTCTCTCTCTCTTTTGTGGAGGGTTCAAGACAGGGCTTCTCTGTGTAGGTAGGCTTGGCTGTCCCGGAACTCACTCTGTAGACCAGGCTGTCTCAGAACTTAGAGGTCCATCTGCTTCTGCCTCCCAAGTGTGGGATTAAAGGTGAGCATGTGCCACCACTGCCTGGCTGAAGTCCCATTCTTAAATATGTACCCCAAAGCCTTTTCCATAGCCCACCTCTCTCTACATCTTGCTCATCTTGGCTGAGAAGTGGCCTAAGCTGGAGTAGGGGCTGTGTCTGCTGTTTATTAGCTGTGTGACTTTAAGTAAGTGGCTGACTCTTTCCAAGCCTTGGCACCCTCATGGCACCCACAGCAGCTCCAGCAGAGCAGTCACAGCAGACTTCAGTGGGCCTATATTCTATTTCTTGAGTAGGGACAGTATTGGAAGTGGGTCCGCCGTGTGTGGAAGTGGTTTGACATTGATGCTGGGGGGTGTGTGTGCAGGTGAAGAACAGCAGGTAGGCTGGGGGTCACTACCAGCTCTGGCTGACCCAGCAGGTCTGTAAGCTGTGGGCTAGAAAGCTGGGTGAGAGCGAAAGGCAGGTGCATAAGGTGGGTGGGTGGAGAGACTGGAGGAGAAGAGGGCAGGCTGCAGGAGAGGCCACAGCTGGTTTTTGCAGCTAACTTTTACCTCAGTTTCCCCACAAATCCTCCAGTAAGGTCTGCTCCTCTCATCACTATGGGTGGCTTTGGAGTTAAAGTCATCCACTGAGAGATGACAAAGGAGGGTCCAGGCATGGGAAAAATAGGCTGAGGTCCCCAGCTAGGAAAATGCCACTTTGTCTGTAGGCTGCCTAGCTCCAAGGTCCAGGAAGTGGGTTCCAGGAAAACATAAGAAGCCGTGAAAATGGACAGGCAGAAACGCAGACAGCCTGCCACTGCCAGCAAAGGGACTTTATTCCTCCAGGATGTCCCGAGGGGCCAGTGGTGGTGCCTGAGCTAGAGGGCCAGGATTTGTCAGACAAGACTATGGAGGCCCAAGAAGTGGGGAGTGGGGGCTCTGTTACTGGAAGGGGCCTCGAGCCTAAGTAGGGTGGGCTGATAGCATGGAAGAGGCTTCCTGATGCCAGCACTTCTGTCCCTTCATACACAGCCCGTGGTTTGGAGGGAGATGGACAAGCTTGTTCTGTACTGGCCACGTTCTAGTCACCTTGTTATCTGTCTTGCTAAATTTTCAAAAAGCCTGTTTTGGTGAGTCATTAAGAGATGAAGATGTTAGCCAGGTGGTGGTGGCACATGCACTAAGGAGGCAGAGGCAGGCAGACCTTTTGAGTTCAAGACCAGCCTGGTCCAGGACAGCCAGGGCTACACAGAGAAATCCTGACTTGAAAACCAAAATAAAACAGACAAAACAAGAGAGATGAAGACGTTGAGGTTCGGAGTGATGAGATGTGCTTCAGCTTCGGAATTGGGGTGTCAAGGCAGGCTCCTCCTAGAAGCTCCCAATTACACAGGTGGCTACAAGGCTGGCGTGAACAGCTCTGAGGTCACTGCTTGATCGTGTTGGGGGTGGTGGTAAGCAGGCAGGCGCACATGCATGTGGAGGCCAAAAGTCAATCCCAGGCTCTGTTCCCCAGGAGCCATCCACACTGTTTTTGAGTCAGTGTTAGGTTAGGCAAAGCCTCGGAATGTCTTCCAGAGCTGGAGTTATGAGCATGTGCCATCACATTTGACTTTTTATGTGGGTTCTAGGGATGGAACTTGGGATGTAAATGAGCCATCTCCCTAGTCCCTTTAGCTCATCCTTTGCCAGCAGCTCTTCCATCTCAGGGCCTGGCTGAAATGTCTACCGTGAAGGGGGTAGAGACAGTCAATGCCAGGCCTCCCAGGAAGCTGACTGGCCAGGCTCGGCTACCTCTAGGTACTCAACTTCCCGGGGCCATTTTAGGGAGGAGGCTAGGCCTGTCACTAGCAGAGGCCACAGACCCAGGGGACACCCAGGGGAGACCCAGGGGCACTTACAAATACGAAGAAATTGAAAACAAACATCAGATACTTCATGCAGCTCAGACAGTCGCCCTCCATGGTGCTCCACCTAGAAAACAAGGCCAATCAATTCTTCACCTGGAGACACTGAGATTCCTCCGGCTGGAGCCCAACTCGATCCCACCCAGCTGGGAATCTCAGGATTAAAAAGCTGAAACCTTGCAGGGTTCCTGGCTTCATACCTAGCTGAAGTATCCATCCTGTTATCTCCTCCCTTTTGCCCAGACACTCCCTGAACACCAGGGACCTTGACACAGAGACCCAGGTTGGGAGACTGGGACAGTTAAAAGGATAGGGGTTTTCACTGGGAGGCATGCTTGGGTGAGGGGCCTCTGGGCAACAGGTCCAGGCTGTTGCTCGTGTCTCCTCCTTGTAGAAGGGCATGAGGAGGTAACTCCCAGCCTGCTCTCCACTGCACTCCCCCTGTCCTACACCCCCCAGTGGAAGAGTTGGGCTCACACCAGGTCAGGTTGGCCCTTGATGCTGGCTCCGTTTCCATGTTTCAGGGCTAGGATTGAAGGAGTTTATGTAATGGCCTGCCTTTATCAAACATCCATCATTCCCCTGAGCAATCTGAAAACAGGGTTTCCTCCCAAGAGGACTTGTCTGCTCCCAATCCAAGACACTGGCCCCTAAGCTTGCTGGAGATGGAGGGCTGAGTCCTGGGCTTTGGGGTTGGGGGTGAGTGTTGGGGGTGGAGAATACTGAAAATAACCAGGGTTTGCCTGGTGTCAGGAAACCCAGTTAGAGACCTACTGACCCAAGCATCTGAGGGTCCTATGCTTACAGCTGCATGTCATGCACTTACTGCTTCAAGTAGACTAAAAGCTCGGGGCTTTGAGAGGTACTTATGTGTGACACAACTAAGTGCTAACTTAGGATTGGCCTGGGATCCCTTACGCCACTAGCATATCACTGATAGTCATCATTCTTCCTGAAGAGTTGACAACCATTAATGTGGCCAATGACATGTAGCCAGCCAGTGATGGGCCCTGCCTGGAGCAGCCCGGCACCCTGCGGGCACCACCTGCTGTAGGTGCTGGGTGGTTATTCAGAAGTGCACATGGGCCTCAGGGAGACATACTGCCCCAAAAGCCATGGCCAGTGTGTTCACTGAGACACTTACAGTGTCTAGGACAGACCGGTGCGGTGACATCAGTTAACACAGCTTCACCAATGAGTGAATGAATGCATGGTAGAAAAGAGAAAACAAAAAGACAAAATGGCAGAGTCTGCAACTCAGAAACAGAGACCCATATGCAAGGGAGAGACTGAAGGGGACAGATGACAGAGTGATCAAGGAGGGGTGCCGTAAAGGATACACGGATTGGACAGAATCAGAGTGGAGGTCAATGTCAGGGGGCAGATGTGTCAGCTGGGCAGCTCTCCACGGGTCAGCAGAACAAAGTCTCCTAGTCAGAGGGTCTCAGGTGTCTTTCACCAGCTCAGCTTGCCAAGTTTACTGTTACAAGATATTGGGTACTGAGGCACAATGAATGCAGGGCTCCTGGTGTACACACAGGCAACCGCTTGCTAACTGGCCTATGACACTAATGAAAAGCTGTCAAGACGTGGGGCTGTGCCAGCTGGGGAGGGCTGCACTGGTTATCTCCTGCCTACACAGCAGTCCCCAGTACCCTGCTGGGTGCATTGGAGCTGTGCCTTCATGTGGTTTCTGCCATGGTCTTATCAATGCTACCCTGAGGTGGCAGGCTTGGGTGGACACCCATCTGATGCCCCTTGAGCATTTATCACAGCTCTGTCATGGGATCATGGCACCAAGTCCTTTCCAGAAGCCATAGGCTGCCATCAGAGAGAAGTCTGATGCAGGGAGCCTGTCTTGGTTCTGCATGAAGATTTGCTAGAAGGTTCCTCTGGAGAGCCAGCTCTCAGCAGGGCAAAGGAAGCTGCACTTACTCTGTGGAGCCTTGTGTTGATCACATGTGTGGGAAGTTCTACAGCCCAGATCTGCTTACAGGCTGTGTTAGAGAACAGACCCAGGAGAAGGTCTGTACTCTGCTGGTTGAGAATCCTTCCCAGGGGAGATAGAAAGATTTTAAGGTCCCAAAACACCTGCTCAGATGCTCTCCCTCAAGTGAAAACCCACTTGGAACTAGTTAAGTACATGCTGGGTGACAGATTCTCCTTCTTCCTGCCATTCCTTCTTTTACTAATCCACCAATTCACTGATTAATCTATCTGTCTGCCTGCCCATCCATGTATCCATCCATCCATCCATCCATCCAACTACCCACCCCATGCATCTACCCACCCACCTACCAACCCATCCATCTATCCACCCAGAAATATACTCATCCTTATATCTACTTAACCATTCAACTATCTACTTACCCATCCATTTGTACCTATCCACTCATCCACTCAGTTTCTATTCAGTTATATACTCCATCCACCCACCCATCCATCCACCCACCATCCATCCATCCATCCATCCATCCACCCACCCACCCACCCATCTACCTACCTATCCACTCATCCACTCAGTTTCTATTCAGTTATATACTCCATCCACCCACCCATCCATCCACCCACCATCCATCCATCCATCCATCCATCCATTCATCCATCTATCCATCAGCCCATCCATCCATCCATCCATCCATCCATCCATCCATCTATCCATCCATCCACTCATCCACTCATCCATCCACCCATTTGCTTGATATCTTACCAGGTCTGTCTGGTGAGGATTCCCTAGAAATTGGTCCTGTCAGGGGGGGAGGGTCTATGTACTCTGCCTTGGCATAACTTAGCTTAAAGGGGGAAGAAGTCAAGGAAAGAAGAGGGAATTCCAGAGGAGAGGGAATCCAGGTCAAACAAGACCAAGATCTTCATACAGGGATACCTCACTGGACAAGATGAAGCCACCTGACTTGTCACATTTCTGGGGTCATTTGAGAGGTGTGATTCTACAGCTAATCCATGCTTGGCCATGGGACTTAGGGGAGCAGGGCTGGGTCATGGTTTCCCAAGCCTTCCTCTTCCCCTGCCCAATCCCAGCTTTGGTCCCAGCACCATCACACTTGTCTATCACCCCAGGCCATGGTCTTAATTCCGTCAGGCATCATTTTCCTCTGAATACAGCTGCTGGGGGCAGAGAATATAGGTTGCACAGGAACCAATCCAGTGTCCAGGAGGAGTAGGTGGCCAGCACTTATCTCCTCACCAAGGATCATCCACCATGCTGCCTGCTGGCACACAGGGATCCCCATCTTTGAGGCTGAGCCCCGCTCCTGCCACACTCCTTTTCCTGTCTGTCTTCCTGGAGAGCCTGTCCCACAGTTAGGCTCCTGTCTCCCTAGAATATATGGCTCCATTCATTTCCTCACTGCTGCTTCAGAGCCTGGGATAGACCCTACTTTATCAAGTCCCTTGAGACCTTGGGATAATCAAACTGCCATGATTAGCTTTGAAACCAAAGGTGGCTGAAAGAATCAACAGTGCCAGAGGAGAGAGAAGACTTGGAAGGTGGAGGCACTGTGATTCTCAGTGTCATCACACATCAGGAGTAAGTAAACAGTGTCTGAGCGGAATCACTGGTCATGACTGAAGCAGGGTGTGGGGAGGCCCATGGATGCCATACATGGTCAGCATGGGTACAAATCGCTTTGTCCTAAGTGGCTCCACATTCAAATTAATTGTTCCAATACTGTGCCAATTAATAGTAACTACAAGATAGTGTTTACCAAGCATCCAGCTCTGTTCGGCCTTCTCCTGTGTTCTCTCATTAAATATTTACCTAGGAGGTGGGTCCTCTTACAGGCATGGAAACGGAGACTCAGAGATAAAACCAAGTTGCCTGAGTTCGCTGACCTGCTTAGTAAGATATTTCTGATCCAGACACAGGTCATTTAACTGAAAACCAGAGCTCCTGGCAAAATACTGTCCATGGGACATGGAGGCAGAGGCAGCCCTGGGAGAGGAGGAGCCATGCCTTGGTCCCCAAGATCCCTGACCTGAGCTAAGTTGCCAAGCACAAAGCCTGGGAAAGATGCTCATTTCTTCTCTTGAGCCAGCTGGAGGCTGTAGGGGCAGAACCCGGCCCTGCCATCCCCTGACAGATGGGAGCCCGGAGGCCCAGAGAGGGCAGGAATGGGGCTGAGGTTATGCAGCGCCCTGGGGCTTTCCTCAGCAGGCTCCTGCTTAGGCCAGACAGCTTTATTAATCTTACCCCTCTCATGGCCCCAGATGGCAGCTCGGCCCATCTGTAGGGATATGGGGCCGGGAGGGGTGCTCTGAGTAAGAATAACTGGGTTCATAAATCACTCCTTTTGCCTTTACCACCCCCAGAGCAGGAAGCAGAGACCCCCCATCTGGGAAAGCACACCCAGGCCCAGCTTAGCCTGCAAACACCCATGCCAGCAGAGGGTGCTGTGGTCCAGGGCGGAGCCATTGCTGGGTCCCAGTGGAACCAATGTTTCCATGCTACTCCAATAAGGTATGTATGTGTGTGTGTGTGTGTGGGGGGTATCTCTGATAGTATTCTCTCCTCCAGAGGATCCTGCATCCCTCACCTGGAACATGAAGACACTCAGTTCCAACTACCCATGGTCACTGTCTGGATGAGCTGCCAAGATTTAAACACCCAACATATTGGTTTCCTTTCCCCCCCCTTTCTCAGTACCTGCTACAGCCAACCCTGGGCTTGGTCCAATAGAGGCCAGTGGCTGTGTTCACACTCGCTGCCACCACCACCACTCAAGTCTAGTGAAGATCAATAAACAATCCTCAGATAGCGGTGTTAACAGACACATCCTCTGAGTGCCCTGGCCATGCCAGGCCAGACACGGAGTAAAACGCTTCAGCCCAGTGTGTCTGGAGGGGGCCTGGAAGTCGGGCAAAGGATGGGGGTGGGGGAGACAGGGAAGGGACTGACATTTTTAAACGGAAGCTGAGGATGATGATGCCAGGGCCTGTAAGCTCACTTGATTCTCCAAAAAGCTCAGCAAAGTGCATGGTCTTATCACTCTTCTGGGCTGGATGAAGCCATGAAGCCCGAAAGTGGCTATAAGGTCCCA